TGCGTATGCCGCAAGTACAAGATAACTTTTTACGCGAATTATCCACACCCCCCCCTCCCCTCGCGACTCTTCTCCTCTAAAGAAAAAGCTAGGCTTTTTCGCCTCCCCGGAATATTCAAGTACTCATTCTATACGGACACTTTATCGGCAAAGAATAAAAAAAGAAGAAGAAGAAACAAAAATGGCTCACGACTTTTCGATTCACTTGTGCGATGGTGTGAAATGCGATTGGACGTAACGAGTGCCGACATTCTCACGAAAAAAAGAAAAAAAAACGACCACCCCGTTACTCTTTCCGAGTCCTGGACGGTTCCTCTGCGGCTCTGATTTCACCGACAAAAAATCCACGACATCCATGACGTGTAATTAAATTCATTATAGAAATCGATAATATTCTTTATCGAGCTATATATATATATATATATATATATATATATATATATATATATATATATTGGAGCTCTGAGAAACATTGCCGCGATCGTACGTCCAATTTGTAGGAGCTAATAAAATCTGTACCGATGACTTTCGTTGACAAAAAGTTGAAATAAGTAGCGAACGTAACGAGAGTTGGTAAGCCCAAATGGTAAAGGCATCGAGCATAAATCGTATTAGATCCAATCGAGACAAGACGCTGTCGCTCTTACTCTCGCTATAAGAGCGCGTTATTACAGGTGTAGTAAATCTGTCCTCTCATCAGTGACGGAGTCGCGGCTGCTTATCAAAACGACGAGTACCGTTAATTGGCCTGTTCGGGCGATCGAGAAGCGAGTCGTTCGATCGTATCAATTATCGAGTTTGGTAGCTCGAAAAAAAAAAAAAAAAAAAAAGAAAACCCTCAAATTTAATTTGGAGCGATTTTAACCGAGCGACGACTAGGATTATTGGGATTTGGTGGTGGGAGTGACGTGTAAGCCCGGGCGGGCAGTAATATAAAATGGTAGCGAATGTGAAAAAGGCAATAAAGCGGCGAGGCGGGGAATCGCCGCTCTAGCCGCGTGATCTACGAATTAAAGTCCGAACGAATTTCCACGCGCGCGGCACGAGAAGCAAAACTCGTGCTCGCGCTAGGCGGTAAAAAAAAAAGGTTAAAAAGGAAAAGCGAACTTTCTCGCGGAATGTCAGGTGGTATCGCGTGGAGGACCGTAGCCGCGTTTCTCTCGCCCGGGACGTCGTGCGCCGTTATCGTGTGGGGCCGCGATTTCTGAAAGGCCGGGGCGCGGCGTCGTTTCCCCGTCGGCGTATCGCCGCTTCGATCGGCGCGAGACCTGATAATGAAAAGCTCGTTGCCGATCAAGTGACAAATTTAATTGGCTCGGTGCCGCTCAATTCTCCAGGGTCCCGTCGCCGGGTCGCATGAATGGACTAAGGCGCACCCGTGATCTCGACCGCCGGTAATCGGCGTCAATCGCTCGGCTCGGCCGTCGTTGACCGACCGATCGTTTCCCCGCGACTCGCCGACGCTAAAGCGGAAGAGCCGAGAGGAAGCACACGAATCGGCACTCGCTTGGGCTCCCCGGCTTTTAACTCGCACAAATAAAAGAAACTTTCTCAATCGGGTCGTTGTCGACGCGTCGAGGCGACACATTAAATAACGCTTTCGCTTAGCCCGAATTTTTCGAGAACGGAGAAAGAGAACGCTCACTTTCCGGTGCTCAAAAAAAAATCCGTCTCTGACCACGCGTACACGGAATTAATATAAGTGTATAACTGTCACACACATATACAAATAAAGAAACAAACAAGCGAACAAAATCTCGTCTCGTGGATTAAGCGAATGATATTTTCGAAGGAAAAAAAATCCGAAAGTTGTTCGATTATCGTAGTGAGCGTAGTTGGCCGATGCCGAGTCACTGGTAACCAGGATGAGGAGGAGGAGGAGGAGGAGGAGGAGGAGAAGGAGGAGTAGGAGGGTGGGCGGCGGCGGCGGCTTCTGTTAGCGGCTAGCGGGCAGGGGGAAGCGGGAAAGGGAGGTGGTAGTTCCACTTGCGGAGCAGTGACCGCGTCGAGCGACAAAAACGTGCATTCGTGATTTGGGTTCCGCGAAGCTGACATTATCTCGCCAGCGTATTTGAGTATTTGCTTTGGTAGGGCACCGCTTCTTTTCGCTTTGCACCTTTCTTTCGCGAGTCTTTCGACGAATTCATTATCATCCAACCAACTCGACAATTAAGAAATGTGCACGAGTTTCGAGTAGCTCTTAATGTCCATTATTTAGTCAGAGTTTGCGACCGCTGGCAAACGATCCGTCAATCATTTTCACGTTGTCCATGCGCGGAGATGCCGGCCAACGTAATAATTAAGGAAATAATTAAATTGTTTGCCACTTACGGCTTGGCTTCGTCCGTCATATATTTCCATCCTGTCCCGATAAAGCTCGAGAAAGCATTTGCAATGCCCGGAATATTTCGTAAAAGCTGTCGACAGCATATCGAAGTAAAAACTAGCATTCCGCCAATGAATGAGATCGAAAGGTAGGTTTGTTGGCATAAAATTTCGATATTGAAAGTCCATGGTATTGAAAAGCAGCGGGATCGAGCATATACATAAGAACCGGTGAGCTCGCAAACATTCGAATGCCGCTAAGTAGGTGGAGGGACCTTAGTCAAGTTACAATTATTCATAATTATGGTGGCTAGTTTATGGCTCTTTGGCCAAGTAGTCGTTGGTGATGGTGAGCGGGCGTTGAGTGACGTCGGCTCGGCTCGAAAATGCCGCTACTGGTTAAGTGTACTCGAGCGGCAGACAACGGCCAAAAGTGGACAAAATGAGTCAAAGTTCGAAGGGTCGGGGGAATCAAAGATGGTGAACGTCCACGATCGAATGAGACGTGAAATAGAATTCGTGGGCTCGTTACGTCACGTGCCGATTCCCGTCCCGGCTGTGGCGTATCCTTGCGAAATCGGCTGGGAATTTTCCGCGACGAGGAGGGCAAACGGTGCCCTCTTTGATGGAGGTAATCGCTGCCCTTTGATGGCAATATACGGATAAATGGAAAGTTGGTAGTGATTGGTAGCGAGTCAGAGGGTAAGGCGAGAAAGCGCAATCGTCGACAATTGATTTTGCGCGCGCGGGCAAGTTTGCAAAAGCTACTTAGGCCCTACTGTTGGGCAATGGGAGTGGAACGAGGGCATACAGCGCTTCTGCTACGCCTCCGGCGAGCGCCAAATTCATTTCAGGGTCTATCAGATTTTAGCCCTTGAGCACCGGAGTTTTTGGGTTGGTGTGCAATGCCCCTCGCGCTTTCACTCGTAAGAAGAGAGTGTTCGCTCGGTCTTTTTTTCTGATTTGGGCGCTGCCACATTGTACTTCTCTTGCGCGGTAGCTCGGCAACTAGTAATATTCGTATTGGGACGGTGGAGTATAGGCGACTGGGCGATACGTGGAGGGGAAAACAAAAAGCCAAGTAAGTGGAAAAATAGCGCGACTATAGATCAATGAGCAGTCGAGGCATAGGAGGTGTAGCTAACCTTCATACACCCATTGGTATGCAAATTTATATAGTTGATGACAATTATCCGGGCGAGTTTTCAAGTTTCACGACGGCGTATAGAAAGATGCATTGCGTTAATCGATTTGCTTTATATTAATAAAACAAAAAAACAAAAAAAAGAAAAGAAGAAAAAAAAGGAATAACACATTGTGCCTTGCGTATTTTACGTAACTTGGCGCTGTATTTTTGAAAATTATCTCGCTCGCGCCTCGCCGAACGAGCGCTCTGCAAGATTTCAATCAAGAAATCGAGTGATCGTCGATTTCGCACTTCTCCACTGGCCCTTTAAAGCGTTCAGCCGAAAATCGGCTCCGGGTACGAATGGCAACAAGCCGTTGGCAGGCCTCCGTAAGATTCATATCAGCGGAGCGGGGGAGGGGCGGGCATGTGATTCCGGCGTCTCTTGACGCAACAGCAGCCAGCAAAAAACGGCGCCCGTCACGTACACACGCGCCTATCTGTTTCACTTTCCAGAGTCCCGGGGCCGCGGCCACGTAACGTTAGAATCGGAGAAAGTACGCGGCCAGTCCTCGAAATCAGCATTCGGAGCGCGATTCCGAGCAGTGGCGAAGGTTCCTTCGCTCCACCATTTGTTAATGCTGGGCGAGGTGGACATAAAATCTTACCACAGGCTAAACAGAGAGGGAGAGAGAGAAAAGTGAAAGAGTTTGGATGCAGGCTTCAGGAAGGTGACTTGGACCCTCCTCCGTCCTAAGTACGAGACCCCATTAAATATCATCTATTAACGAGGACATTTACCGCACCATCCCGCGATGACCGGCGATTCCGTGGATACGAGTCGTTCAACAATCGAGTGACTTGTCCCAATTTTCGGTAGCCAAGTGCACTTACTCGCGCGCCTCGAAAGGAGCGAAATGTCGCGCCGAGAGTGCGCATGCAAGCATCGCCCTTGCACGTGCAATCATTAATACGTATTTCCTTGCTTTCCTTACTGACTTCTCGTAGTATAAAAACGTGTGATTGGCTCGTGGCTAATAGAGCGTCTCCGTTGCATGCATACAAATTAATGATGCGCTGTTGTAACTCGTCCCAAGCGCGTCTAAATATTGTCTGGCTTATTTTCGCGAAGAAACACATAAATAAAGAAAGAAGGAAATAATGAAGAAAAAAGGATTAAAATTCTTACTGGATTTGGCGGAATAGGAAGCGTCGCTATGAAAACGAGTATCATTGTCAGGGCCAAGGACATAGATAACGTGGCAGCAGAAAACGTTGAAACGTTAGACGATTGTGTACGCGGATATTATTCGTCCTTGATTAAAGGGCTTTTGGTATATTTAAGGTAAGGGTTTGTGAGAGTCGAGAGGCGAGGTTAATCCGCGAAGGAAAATGGCAAGGAGAGCTGCATCGTTAATGAGCTCTAATAAGCCGAATTTCGGTCACAAAATTTTGCGCGTCCTCGGGCGAAATAAAAGACAATTGAGCCGAGGACAATGAGCGGCTCGTGTTTCGATCGCCTCATGATGGACCTCGTGCACGAGCGTACCTGGAATGTCGGCGCCTCCGCAACTGCAGTCCGGAAGGAGGCAGACGTCCTTGCGACACTTGGCGGCGGGTTTGTCAACCTGGGGCGTCGGGTAGATGGGGGCCGGCCTCACCGGCGGGAATCGATAGATGTCCACGAACTCCTGGACCTTGGATACGATCTCCGTGGAGGGTTTGAGAGTCGGGCGTAGCCGCCTGCGGAGATAATTCAGACTCAGGTTCCGCAATCCCCGGCTTACGTAACGAATTAATTTCACTTTCACGAGATGCGCGGTCGAATCCGTTACGAACCGACGCCGGCTGCAACTGTGTCACTAGCGTGGCTTGTCTTTCTCTCCCAATGAAAATCCGATAGCCCGTCGCGTTTACTTTGGTCGGTGCGCTCGATCGTTACGGTCGGCCACTCAAAAACTACTTCGTCCCGAGCGATTTATCACGCGCTTACACGACCTTTTCCCGTTACAACATTGTGGATGAGCGAATCGCGAGCGACGACTTAGTCAATGACCGGGCAAGCCCGTTTCCACGCGATAAGCCATCCATTCTTTTGACGCCTCGTGTTCCCGTTCGCAAACTCTCCCGTCCTCCCCGCGCACTCCCCGTAACGCGGCTTCGGAATCCTCGATGCTTCTATTCTATCCAACGAGCTTTTTAACCGAGACGCGCGATATTTCCATTGTCATCGTCGCGCCCGACCTAATAAAGACAGCTGGATTAGCGATAAACGAGGATCCCAGCTGTCACTCCACGCTCCATCCTCCATGCTCCACAAGCCATTAATAATCCAAATTATCGACGAATCATTACCCCTTCTCGGTCGCCTTGTTCCTTCGTCATACATGCCATAATGAACATTTCACCGAACGCTTCAATGAGCGCTCAAAATACATTCCTCTCAGGCTTTCTCTATAGGCTGTCGAGATTCTACATAAACTACACGCGATATTCCGTGCGTGGAAGAATTAAAGCTACCGTCGCTTGCTGCTTGGTACTCGATGGCCAAAGTGCCCTCTCCTATCGCAACAATAAAGCGCGAGTCTATCATCGCCTTGCCAGCTAAGATCCTTATTAATCCCGACGGATCACCTTGTCACCTCGCGAGGTCACGATTGTTCTGAGAGAGCCGCGCACGAGGCAACGCTCACACCGCGCGACGACGAGAGTCGAGTTAAAACGTATTCGATAAAAACAACGAAGGAGGAGAAGAGGAGGACTGCGAGCTCAAGCCCCCGCGTATCCCCGTTGCCTAACGGCGGACCGAGCGAACGTGATTCTTATCCCAAATTTCATACTCACGGTGGTGCCGTTCCACGATTGATCTGCTGTCGACTCCGGCTGCAAAAGAAAGAGGAGTGAGAGCGGTGACGTGCGGGGGTGAGATCGAGGGCGTGAGTCAGTGCCGAAAATCTACGGCACTAAGGTGGCGGGGAAGAGGGGGAGATAGTAAGTGTGCGAAGCGTCGCCGGGAGAAAGTGAGAGATGACTTTGTAAACGCGTCGTTTTGTAAATGGAATTGGGTCTTGGGACCGGGCCGATAGCGAGATTATCGCGACCTCGACCTTCCGCTCGCTACTCGCGTTTTATTAACCGGCTCCTTTCGACTTTGGGCTCCGATGTTGCATGTCTCGCGTGCACTCCTCGACGATGATTTGGCTAATTGGTCGCGTCGCCGACCGAGCGTCAAAGTGACCACATCATGTAGATTTGAAGGAAGGTACGGTGATTGGGCCACGATCCGTGGACGCTAATTGGCGACTCCAGCGTCTAGTGGCTGTTTGTAATTCGATCGACGGATTTTTAGGATACGTACCGGGTTTGGCCGTTGCTAGTCCAACGGTCGCCGAAGAGCAAAGGGCTTGGTGGGGGACGCGAGCCGCGATAGTCGAGGACACGCGATTTTACTCGACAGTATTAGCGAGGCGAATGAAATTACAAAAATAGCGAGTCGTGATCCGCGCTCTATTTTACCTGGGCGGAGCGCTGGCGGAGTAGGAGCGGGCGGTCGTCGGTGGCGGGCCCTGGGTCGTCGTCGTCAGCGGGATGAAAGTGTCGATGATGGCGTTCGGCGTTGTCACGTGGACGACTGGGTGGCTGAGAACGTTTGGCCTGAAAATGAGAATAAAAAATTCACACGTGAGTGGATTAGGTAACGGTGGCTGCGCTCCCATCGACGCCGAATTTTAGCAACCTGACTCGGTTGACGTGGACGCGATAGCTCGTTATCGCGTACTTTCGAGTGCCGCGATGATGCCTGAGCGAGTGCGCGGGTCTTGATGGGTCAAACGCCCTGGTGGCTAGCTAATTGACTCCGGTTCGAGAGTTTTGCTTATCGTTGATTAATTTGCTTATCGGCGAGTTTTGCGCAGGATCGGGTCCATGTGCTGCTACGCGTAATATCCACGGCTCGACGTGCAATTCGGCAGAATATCTTGATATAGACGACAAGCGCTTGTGGAAGTTTAGTTAAAAAAATGATTGTTAATCCACGTTTTATCGTACGGCAATTTAGCGCGTAAATGTATCGTTGATCTGGCTAGTTGCGACGTATAATAGTTTTATCGCGATAATTCGAGGGGCAATTAAAATTAATGATTTGCGTAATTCGGGTATGAATCTTGCGTCGACGGAGTTGAAAAATTATCCTGATAACTTTATTGCTATGGAATAAAGAGTCTGTACAACTTATAGAATTAGAAGAACGATGTTGCGAACCGTTATATAAGAGCTTAAAGTTTTTGCTCATAGAATATGATAATGAAGAAGAAAATGCAGAAGAAGATGTAGAATAAGATGCAGAAGAAGAGGAAGAAGAATAAGACGAATAAGACGAAGAAGAAGAAGAAGAAGAAGAAGAAGAAGAAGAAGAAGAAGAAGAAAAAGGAGAAGAAGTAACTGTCTATAAAGTTTTCTTATTTCATTACAAAAGTTTTAATTTTGCGTTATGGCATCAAACGCGAGAATCGTAGTTTTACGCTTTGATAACGACTTCACTTACGAAAGAGATCGACGTCGTTTTACATTTTTTCTTACCCCTTAAGAATTACATCGGTAAATCATATTTTCTCCACACCTTAAATTAAGAATGCTGTTAATAATTGTTCTGAGTAATTATATAAGAATGCACAAACGTGCAATTTGAGTGTGAGAAAATTGAAATATATCTTGATTTATTTATTTACTTATTATACATTTCAACTAGCACTTTTGCAACCATTAAAAATGCACTTTATTGAAGAACCTTATTTATGTTAATGGTATAATTATTATTTCCCACTTTATATCATATTGGATACGAAATGGAAAATTTATTGACATTATAACGCAAAACCGATAGAAATTTTAATTGATATTCGCATCAATCGCGCGATGAAAACTCTCGACTGAACGGCTAATTATTATTATATTTATTTCAAATACATTGAAATGCAAATATAAATAAAACAAAATGAAGAAAATGTCTTACAGTTAAATTACGTTTATCTTACTTTTAATCCATTGCTTTTAAAAACTGTCGCTGGTAGTTTTGAAAAATGTCCACGATTCATTGAATATTTAATGTAACTTATCTTAGTTCATTGGAATAATAATTACGGCTAAAATATTGTCATGTTAGAAAGTTTGCGAAAGAAGATATGGACTTGTCACAATGTTCAAAATCCAATCAAAATACAAATTATAAATTAAAAAAATAAAACCAAAAAAAAAAAACCAAAAAAATTCCATCATATTCTGCATTAAATTTGTTTTTAATAGCGAGCCTAGAAGTAATCTATATAACATAATGATAATCTTTCGAGCTCACGCTTATTTGTCCAAATATTTAAACAAAAGATTTAAACAAAAGATTTAAACAAAATATTTAAACAAAATGCTAAAATGACAGCTTAAAGATTATATTGTCATAAGTGAATAATGATTAGAATACCTGAGAGATTGGCCGTCGGTGATGCGGAATTTGTTTTTGCCGATGTGCTGTTGATCCACGGTGCATATGTAAATGTTAGAAAATACAGAAAATTCATTATTAACATGAACGAATGTTTTCCATGAATTTCTAGGTTAGATAAAAAAAAAAAAAAAAAAAAAAAAATGGCTCCTTACGTATTGCGCGTATATAGATTTATAATTAAAGATCGGAGACTCAATGAATAATGCTTGAGCGATGCTATTTAATTGCAATGTTGCGGCGACCTTTCAATCTATAATTCGCGCATAAAGTTCCGATGACGGCACACCTGCTATTTATAGGTCTTTATGATGTTCTTAATAATTTACTAAAAGCCCGTGTAGGAAAGGACAGAACGTCGATGGACACTTTAAATAAAAATTGTCCGATGATTTAAATGACGAGTGGCTCGACTATTGAATTTTAAATAAATATCATTGTAGGCTAATGAAATTGTTGCAAAATAATAATGAAACAACTATGGCCGTTTCGTACAACTTGTCATGCAGGATTTCTTAAAGCCGCCTCGTTAGCGGACATCTCAATCATAAAAGGCTATTCGAAATCGCAAAGAGCCGAGGCGAGACGCAGTGATCAGCCGACGATAATCTGACGTAATTTTGTAGGCTGGAGTTCGAGAGCGAGGCTACGACGTAAAACGGAAACCCATCCGGGAAAGAGGCACCTGATTATCATAAATGTCATAGTCTTGAATGGTGACGTCTTGATTGAGATTGTACTTGTCGGCCTCGTGGACCGAGACTTTCTTCGGCTTCTGAGAGTACGGTTTGGAGCTCGGCGATACCTCGATGCGAATATTCTGTTGCTGGTGTTGTTGCTGGTGGTGTTGCTGTTGTTGTTGCTGCTGCTGCTGTTGCTGCTGATGCTGTTGATGCTGCTGCTGCTGCTGCTGCTGCTGTTGTTGTTGTTGATGTTGAGGAGGCAAGAGAGACGCTTGAATCGGTGTCGATTGGTTCACGGTGTACTGATTGTAATCTGCGGAGGGAAAAAGGACAAGACATCCTCTTGTTATTTATATTGTAAATGGGATTGCGATTGTGTGCCAAGTCGTGTAAGTAGGTCTGATCTCCGATTGCGTCGAGATATTTTCTAATCGTACTCGCGATGTTTCTATTTCCTCTCTCGAGCGGTGAAAGCCCAGATATGATTCGCGAGACTATTTTATTCCTTTTTTTTTTTTTTTATTTTGCTCTAATCAACACTTTCGATATTATCGCGTCAATACGATGCGTATGTAAATAATATTGTGAACAAGGTAGCCTCGAATTAACATAGCCTAAGGCCAATATACTTTCTATACAGGCGCCACAAACTATTACAATTATTATTGTTCTTTGTTGCTATTTTATCGAATAGCGTTGTTATGTAATTGGTGATTGGATGGAAATTAATCGAGTACTTTTGTCGAGCATTTGAGTCAATGGTAACGATTGAGATTTAATATGGTTCGGTAGTCAATGCATAAAGTACGTTTATTTTTTTAAACGTAAAAATTGTAGTTAGCTTTTTTTTGTTTGTTTTTGTTTTTCTTTTTGTTTTTTTTTGTTTTAAATGTCAATGCTTTAAACGTTCAATCGCACATATAATTTCCGCGCTTAATTCTATTATTCCAGAAGCTTTTTATGCTTATACATAAGTAATTTCAAGCGATCGGGTTTTTTCATTAAACTTATTAAATAAATTCGAGTAGCATTGTATATAAGGATGATAATGCAAATTTTTTTTTTTAAAGTAAATTTATTCATTAGTTATCAGGAATGAAATTTAATTAAAACAAAAAACGATTATTTCGTCGAGCTTTCGAATATGTTTACTTTAATTCGTAAACGTATAATCGACTCGAAAGAAATATTTACTGTCATGTAATTGTACGTAGTCATATAAAGGATAGATCGCTGTTAAATTTATTGGTTATATGGCTAATTTATTATTCGACAGGAGCTTATTTCCGAATGGTCTTTCTTAATTATTTTATGCATTGCACGGACATGTGAAATGATACGAAAATCCCGTAAAACCTTTGCCGAATGCAAAACTGACTATTCCGTTTATATCTTGCAGTTATAAGTAGCAAGAAATTGTTCTACATTCTACTTTAATCGCTTCGTAAGAATAATTGTTTTGAGAACGCAATAATAGTAAATTGCCGATTGATAAAATATTTCTGATTCGCAATGTTTTCTCAAACGTTAATTACATTTAAAGTTGAAAAAGTTGAAAATGTTATAGTTAGAAATTTAAGATTCTAGAAACTTTATGAATCATTATTATAATGAATCATTATAATGGAAATTATCTGGATATTTTTACAATTTAATATCATTGCATTTTATTTATTAGCTACGTAATCTCTATATTATGTTTGATTTTGAATCTTCGACGATTAATTCATAATTAATAATCACTCTTTTATTTACATTAGAGATATTTCACTTTTAAATAATACAGTCGACGCTACCGCGCACGATAATTATTAATATGTCGATGACGAGACGCTGTTTTATACAAAAATGTTTAATAAATGCCACGCACTCGTCCTATTGACTACGAATAATGTCGTCATAAATGCTCTTGGCATATTATTACGCGAATACGAGGTCTTCGCATTAGAATCCGATGCAATACTTTTAATAGAATGTTTAAAGCGACCGATCGCTTTATTATAAAGTTATATAAAATCATTATCGTTAAATAAATCTTGGAATGCCATGTATCGCCTTGAACGTACTCGCGCACTTTTCAAATTTCAATTATCTCTAATTTTTACCCTTTGTAACATATTGAGTTTAAGGCGTAAAATTAAAATTAAAGAGCGATATTATGGTGGAATCGAGGAATCGAGGGATGGTAGCGATAAATGTAATTTCAGTACTCTCCAAATTCATCTTGAGCTTTACTTTTCAAATCCGAATTCACTCGTGCATTAATAAAGCGAAGGTAAAAAAAAACAGAAGAAAAACTAAAAACCAAACCAATCAAATATTTAATGCCTAAATAAAATAAAAAAATTCAATTGATCGATTCATTACGTACCGAGTCGATATATATATATATATATATATATATATATATATATATATATATATATATATAGTGTAACAGCATCAATTTAATCGGAGAAGCGCGCGAAGAAAAATCTATATTATCAAAGACGTACCGTCATCCTTGTAGATGGAGACATCGTCGTCGTAGATGGTGTAATAGGGATAGCTCTGGTCGGGCTCGCTGTAGTACGATTTGGAAACAATCGGTGCTGCAGTCGAGGCACTTGTCTTTGCGATCCTCTGCGGCGATTCGGAAGATACGCTCCTGAAATGATCGAGCGTCATGAAAGTGCTTAGGGCAATCGATCGATGATCACGGATAAACGTGAAAACTCGTGGCTCAATTATCCGCGAGGTTGGATAATAAGACCCTTTGGCCACGAATGATTGCTTCCAATTTTCCAAGCTATCATTTTCAGATCGACGAGCAAGATTCATAAATTGTTCTTAAGCATGTCGTAAGGATTCCATCAACGATTTGGCTACAAAGCTCAGGCAGTAAATTTTTTTTAACACGTCCCTTATATTAAGAAGCTGTGCCAATCTCTCGCGTTTATCTCTGGCTCCATTTGACGTCACAGTTTTTTGTCTGGCAAGCAAAATTTTCCGATAAGCTACTTGTGATTCACCAAAAGAGACACATATACGCACGCACATGTCTCGTTGCGAGCGTCTCGTTGACAATGGAAAAGTAAGTAGCCCCAACTTCGGCACACTAATCGACTACACTCACCTGTAATGGGTCTCCGCTTGGGCTCGAGAGTTCACCGGTCTGTCCTTTTCCCGCTCCTGTAATTGGAAAATGCCGTTAATCAAATGTCGGATGGCACGTCTCGACACAAATTACTGAGACGCGAAGCGAGAACGAGATCTCGCTTCTCGCGTTTTTACCAGCGATAAATGAAACCATCCATTAATCAGGGTGCGAGTCGCTGATTTATCCAACGATCGGCAACGTCGTTTTAGATGAAAAATAAAAAAAAATTTTTAAATTCGTAGATTCGAACGCGGAGGTACATTAATTGTACCGTATGTTCTTGCACGCATTGCGTTGCGCGATAATGAGAGCCTTGATCTTAATTTACGGCCGAATTTCCCTCGGTAATAACTTTTAAATGACGTATTATTGACTTCCGCATAATCGAGCTTTCTTTAATTGAGCTTTTCACGCTCGTTAACCACTCCCTTAATACAATATTTTTAAGCCCCGTTTCCTAAGGCGTCGTTATATTCTCGCGCTGCCTCACATCTTCCATCCAGAGTTATTTATAGTACAATGAAATCCTAGCGGTTTAATGGCTCACGAGTTTGCGTAATTTTGCTCGAAAGATCGTGGATGCTAATTGAACAATTTATAAACGACCGCCGCTATCAAAGACTTTCCTAACGTTTTCTTTGGCAACGGTGCCGAGGCCGTACACATAAACCTTAAAACACGCAATTTTAAGCGACTCTCGCTTATCTTACGTGTGCATTCATTTTAGCGAGGACGCGTGCACGCATGATTGACGATGACTTTATTAGGTGGATTTTAAAGCGCGGCGAAGTTTTGAAAGCAATCGATACGATTGCATCGCGTGGCGCTTATGGACAATTAAATATTGAATCATCGAGCGGTTAAGCGATATCGATCAAAGTCAGCGGTGATCGCGCGAGGTCCTGGAAGATCGTACGGTTTCAAACGGGTTCTCGGGTTCCGAAGTCTCAATTTGTAGAACGATGAGTAGTAGATCGATCGTAGGTCTTAATCATGGACAATAATCATCGCGATGTAATGCATATTGTGCGCGTTGGACGAAGGGATAAACGAAATTGAAACGCGAACCCGAGGAAAGGTTACGACGATGCTAATAGGGCTTTACAGAGAGAGAGAGAGAGAGAGAGAGAGAGAGAGAGAGAGAGAGAGAGAGAGAGAGGTACGGCATCTCTGCGGGATGCTGAGTGGCGCCACCGCTGCATGATCCCGATTGATCTATCGCTCGCATAATTGCGTGAAAGGCTCGATGATCGATGAAGCCTGTCTCGCTATCGTTTCAATGCCATTCGAGCGCTTTTGTTTGTTTGTTTGTTATTCCGCGATTTTTATATAAGCGTTTCATGGGAAACAAGTCGACATTGTTGGGAGCCGAGATCCCAGTATCACAGGCCCATTATGTTTTATGAATTTTAGAACATTAGGAATATATTTATTTTTTTCGCCTGCTTTAAATTTATCGTGTTAACACTTCGTAAGCGATTCGCGATTCGTTCTTACGTGCAAATTGCACTTAGCCCGAGCACGCCGAAAGTGAACCTCGACATTGTAAGACTCGCAAGATTTAAATCTCAAGTGTTACTCGGCCGATACTCATCTCTTTTTGAAATTCTTACAAACCAATCTTGCATGCACGGAAAGTTAATTTAATCGATTCAAAGTTTCTCTCCGCGGCTATCATTGTCTTCAAACGAGAGGCTTCCAAATCTAGCGTTTATAATCCAATCGCAGATTAGTTCCTTCCATCGCTTACCATTAACTTTTAAAACGTTATGTAATTTATAATTTTTTGAGATTTACTTTCTTTATCGTCTATTTGTTTTTTTTTTCATTATTTTTTTTTTTTTTTTTCACTCACGTTCTATATTACTTTTAAGAGCAAAGAACGTAACGAAAAATTACGAATAAACATGTGCGATGAGTATTAACGTAATTAACAAATTTTTTGTTTACCTCGGAACTGCAAGACTTTTTGCCTTTGAAACAAATAAAGCATTGATTCGCGAACTTTCGGACTCGCCTTGATTAAATGGCTGAAATTCTTCATTATACGACAGAAGGTTAATCAACATAACAATATAATATTCTAATGCCGAGTCTGACATTTACGTACGTCGTTAAATAGTTGTTTCCCAATTAATTAGAAGTCCGCTTGAAATTTTGGACAGTAGCCAGTTAATTAATTAAACATAACATCGTCGTCTTTCCAATGAGGAATATCGAGGAATTTCGGAGGAATTATTAACGAGTATCGATACCGCAATGTAATTAAAAAATCAACTACGGACAAACTATTGAAAAATTGATAAAACTTTCATTTGAGATTAATGTAATCTTGTAAACATGTCATTTAGTGTGTCAAGTCAATTATAAAAGAGCTCCATGACATGCGTGCGTGGATCGATAATTCCGAAACGGACTTTACAATCGATATAAATTCAGCAAGAAATCATGAGTGTAACGCCCTACCGATCAGCCCAAATTCTTTAGTGAAAACGGGGCGGGTTGAGCATTTAAAAAACGAGTGTAAATCGGCCTCACCGTGATGATGTTCCTCCTGAGACCATCCCGATCGCGGGCCACTTGGCCGACGGTCGAGGGCTGTCCTCTGTAGACTCTCTGCTGTCTGTCGCTCTCGATCTCCGAAGCGGGCTCGTACTCGTCATCCTGGTAGGTGCGCTGGTGTTGCTGGCGATGACGTAGATGCTGTTGGCGCTCGGATATCGAGGAAGGCGATGCTGTAGCTGAGGAGGCCGTAGGTGATTGGCGTTGGATCATTCGCTGTGACTGTTGTTGTTGGGAGGAGCGTGACTGCTGCGATTGTTGTTGTTGTTGCTGCTGCTGCTGCTGTGGCTGCTGCTGATGCTGCTGCTGCTGCTGCTGCTGCTGCTGCTGCTGGATAGCCTCTGCTTTCTCGGATCTGCACGTATCGGCGAGTGTTTTCGTTATTATGTTTTCGTACTTTTTGAGAAATGTTGGGACCACGTGGGCAAGTGAAAATCGGAAATGGAAAATGCACACTTCTAGTAGTGGACTCGCTAATTAACTTTGCCAATTTGTTCACTACGTTATTACGCCATTTCGCTTTCGTTACCAGTTTGTGTGAGGATACAAGCGGATGAAAATCATAAAAAGTTTTCGTTAAAAGTCTATTTCTTAAAACGTAATGCCTATTTTTCTGCAAAGTTAGGATGCTGTTAGGATGACTATTTGTATGTGCACACTTGGGGATGTACGGAGTATCAATTAGCTTATTATATTAGATACCTGGTATTATATAATTCGATGGAATATCCGAACAATTATATTAATTTCACCGTAAGCGAGCAAGTGAGGCAATTTTTTCATTAATTCTAACTATATGAGTATTAATTTCATAAAAAGAGAAAATGCTTTTAGTTTATGCTGTATATTATTATTATTATCATTATTAAAGTTTGACTCACATTTAGAATAAATCTTTAGCTTTTAATTACTTTCGTAAAAATTCATTAATTAAAATTCGTGCACGATATGACGTATAAACGGAAAATGTGTGGCCGATTGTTCATAACTTTCAGTAATATTACGAGGACCGTTTGACTGACGTTTTATCAAAATTTTGTATAAATATTTTGTATAATTGTATAAATACTTAAAGTTTAGATTAAATCCGTAATTTCGTATTGCGTAATAATGTAGGTATTGTATTTGAAGTCGTGATTCTTATTTTACAAAGTTGATTGGCAAATTAGCTAATAGCGTTGGATTTATGTTCAAAAGTCGAATAATAATTTATCGCTGAGAAAATAACGCGACTGAATTATTATCATAAACAAAGTGTAAGATGTATGAAGAATTAAAGTTCAATTTCCTGTTCTCATTTCGTTAATTTCGTTAATTAATTTTAAAACGATAGCATGAATATGGATAAACTTTCACAAAGTTAGAGATTTTTAGCGATAATTAGGTATAGTTTAAACTTACGACGAATGTGATTCGATAAGGATAACAACGAATTGTTTTTCTATTATTTCATTATACATTACGATTAAACAAATCGATTCAATTAAATAATTATATTTCTTAATGCGATAGTGTTGGACTATTATTAATATAGTATGTATTATAAATCCATATCGTTCCAATTATATTTTAATTTAATATATGGAAAAACAAATTAGATAATAAATTTCTGAGGGAATTATGAATTTGTAAATCGTTATTGTTTCCAAGTGATTTCTCTATGGAATCAGAATTTCCATCCATGATATTTCAAGTATCAGTTTTAATCCGACTATAAGTGCGAATGTTTTAACGATTAAAATGTGCAAATGAGTATTTCATAAAAATGAAAATTTACAATAAAAATATATCGACGAGTCAATCATATTATTCGTTCGCTTTAAATAAAACGGGATGCATTTTCAGGCAAGATTTTTCTTTATAATGAAAATTGAAAAGAATTTCTAATTTTTTGAGAATGCTAATTTCACAAATTAACTCTTTATAAGATTGGATTTTAGATGCTTTCAATTGTAGCTAACGTGGCTAAGGAATTTTCAGAATTCAAACCTCGCGTAACTATATTCACTCTGCATTAAAGGAGAAAATAATCATTGCATTGGCCAATGTATAGGCGTTTGCATGGCACGTTGATTAACCAAGAGAATCGCGCCACAATTAAACTACCATTTACAGCGGCATAACATGACTTTACAATACAACGTCTATGTAAAATAGCATGTAAAAAGATAATACAACAGTGGATTGTTAAATTAATAAAGTCGGAGCCGAGCTGTAAGTCTCGAAAGCGCAGGTGTTTAATAAAGGCAATCATAAAAAATGTTCAGGCTTATCGTTCCTAATACTTTATCGATAAGATTGGCGTCCCCCACCCTCGCCCTTATTCCCACCCTACCTCCCGTCCCGTCTCTTATACAAGAGGGCCGACAAGTCAGCCCCGTCGAAGGGTTGAGCGTTGTAAATGGAATGCAATGCTAAAAGTCGCAAAATAATGGAGGACGGGACAAGGTCATCGGATCGATTATAATACA